AGATCTTGCATAATTAGTTGAATAACACAATTTAATCTGATCGTGAGATTTCAAAATTGAGACTCGTGTAGTAGTTTAGTCATATTGATGTAATAACGAGTAATTATACATATATAAGAACCATTGATTTTGTAAGAGTTAACCGGTTGAGAATTAGAAGCAACAAAGAGACAGGAATATCGCAAAATTGTAGATAATTAGATAAGGACAGAATTTAGTGTTGTAGAAACATTTGGATAAAAAAAATATTTTATGCATTTATTCATAATAATACCATATGAAATAAAAACTTCTTAAATAAAAGCATACATAAAGAATGGGCGACTGAAAATTCTTGTACCGAAAATTTAAGGAGTAATTTATTAAAAATTATATATCATTTTTACACAAAAAATTTTAGACTCAAATGCAATAAAATACTAATGAATAAAAATCAAAATTAGTTGGCAACCGACTAAGTTACCAAATAATTTCTTGTCTATTTCTAATATAGCCAATTGTTGGCTATAGTAGAATTAGATAAACTATTTCTGGGAATTGTTGAGGGCAGAAGGCCAAAGAAAGCTTTTAGAAATTCTCTATTTTAGCAAACTTTTCCAATATAAATAAAACACTCACAAATCAAAATCCTACAAATTCACATCCTGCAAGCTGCAGTAATCAAAATATATTCACGATTTCATAGAACGATATTTCAAATCGACATATAACACCGACCAAATGCCATATAGAAAAGTGCAAATTGCAAAAGTATTGCTAAACTTAATGCATTACATCATATATTGGTATCGACATATATGCAGGTAAATGCAACGATCGCGCATACATAACTTGATATAACCACCTGGACGGAAACGCCTGGCCAAAATTTAAAAAAAAAATTGTGGACATATACCACCAGGCTTAATGCAGTTGCATTAAAATACAACAAATAATTCAATTTATATTTCAATAATGTAGCAGCTTCTGAAAATGCTCAAGTAAATCCATCTTCAGTACTCCCCTACTTGTACATTATCATCTCCCAAGTTTGTAACTTGTTCATGTTTCAAAAAGAAATAATCTTTAATAATTAAATCCCCATCAGACTTAATAAAGCGCATCTAATATTTCATTCGAAAAGTTCTCATTCAAACAACTAATTTTGAAAATCTGGGAGATCATTCCCAGTTTCTTTTCCAACTCCTTTTTCGGTGTCAGTAGAGAAAGTTTTTGCGCTGTAACCCTAATCAAAAACATTCGCCAATGTGTGTTAACGCACCTAATGTATGATTGTGCAATTTATTAAGTCATAAAAGAATAATCTTCGCCAGCAAGACGGATGAATGATTCAAGTGCAGAACTATTACGGAGACACGTGTCATGAAGCAGCTGCAGAAGTGTTGGTTCTACAACCGCAAAGAAACAGTTCCCATATATTGTTTAAAGAAAAAATAGAGATATGTATTTTGTAATGTGAAATTTATGTAATAACAGTTATATTAGAAATAATATAATTTCGTAATACACTCAAGGTGTATTAAAACTTATCAGGTATAGATTCTGATCCGAATCGCTGAAGCTCACAGCAAAATTCTAAACTTTGATATTTTTTCAAAATTCAACCATTTATCATAGGCTTATAATACTTTAGTATGCTATTCAAGACTACAAAATTTATCGTTATACAATGGTCATAAAAATTATTTTCAACATAGAATTACGGCTTGGTCCATCTTTAACAAAAACTAACTAATGCGATTCCCAATCAATATTTTTTTAACCGTTTTTTGATTTTTTAAAATCGATTAGAAAGTGTTACCAAAAACATGCACAAAAGGTTTCACACTTTCCTATTAATTACAAAACTAGTAACCCTTATTAAAATACATCGAATGGTTTTTAAATTTTTGAAATCAGTCCAGCTATTTGTGAGAAAACATCGAAGAAAGCTCAAAATTGTTTCACATACATACACATACACACATATACTGTTTTCTCACACACATATACAATCCAAGTTTTATTGGAGTTGAGATCTTAGAAAAATAGAAGAGGTAATGGCACTCTAGAACCTCCCCCCATCAAGTAATGCCTTCGGCGGTTTTGGTGAAGACAATAGATTTAGAATCATTGACAAAAATAAGAGGCAATGGAACGAATTAGAAGGAAAGTATAATAAAAAGAGAGAATCATAGCATTCTAAATCCTACCCCCATGAAGTGATGCCCCTGCTGTTTCCTTGAGGACAAGAGGCAAAAGATAAGCGGAAGTTTTAGTCGGAATTATACCCAAAGGATGATGAGCCCGACATACCCAGACAAAAGACCTAGTCTGGGATGCCAAAAACGCATTTCCTTCACTACAAAAAGAAAAACTTTTCCGAGCTTGGTGTCAATCGATTCAGAATCACTTGAAACGCCGAGAAAACATAACAATATCCAATCAGATTTTTTCGCAAAAAACAAACTTCTTCGGAAAGCTATAGTTTTCAAGTAGGCATACATCCACATAATAAGAAAGTACAGAAATAAATTATATTTCTAACAACAAAAATTATTACTTTCATACATTTCTTTCATATTCAATTAACAAAATACTTTAAAAGCAGTCATATTAACGAAAAAGCATATAAAGTATTTAATTTAAAAATAAAAATTGTTAACCCTTTGCACTTGGATGCCGCCGTGATATATAAAAGATGTCTATCTTGACCAATATTTATCAAAAGTTGATTCAGTTCCTTCTTTCTTCTTTCAAGTCAATTCTTTCCAATGAAGAAGAGTCGAATTGAGACTCAAAACATATTGAAGTCTATCATTTTCTTAGAAACATAATTAAATTTTACTTACTAATATTTAGATAGATACTTGCCTAAAGAGCTTTATTGCCTTATTCTAACAAAGGCATTGTTATATCGAATACAAATTATTGTAGTTTGCTTAAATATAGAGCAGTACAAACTTATTTAGAAATAGATCTAAATCCAATCTTTTCAGAAAATTCGCGAATTTAAGTATAATACGATCGGTTCGGTTGGGTGTATCGACGGCCTATCAGTTCGCTTTATACGTTTGCAGAAATGACCCACTTAACGGTCCCGGGTTTCACTTGTGTAATCCTATTGTGCAAAGCGCGCTTTGCGTTGCGCGAATGTTACAGGCATTATGTAATAGAAAATATGTATATGTGTATATATGGAGATGAATAACAATTATGTACACTGTGAGCTTTGAACTACGACTTAATTAGTTATTAGAAAAAAATATGAATGCTCTATATAAAAATTGAATGGGACACATCATGGGAAACGACACTGGAAAAAGGGGAGAAAGTTTATATAGGTACATTTTAGCAGTTGATATATTAATTTATTGGAATTACAATCGATCAACAATGTTATATTTTAATAATCAGTAAACTCTATAATAAATAATTTATAAATAAAATCCTACAAAAAAATTTCATCTTATGAGCAAAAAGCTATTCCAGTCAAATTTTTGATTTGCCTCCTTTGGTTACTTTCCTTTGATATTTTAGTATAATCGTGTTCTGATATTTTAGATACTCTACTTTCGCGAAATCCAATTCGGGTCAATTTATACAGATATCAATTTTCATAGACTTTATATAACGTATATGTTATAACTTATTCAAGCTGATTCAAGTTATTCATATTCTCTTACAAAAAATCCCATAATTTCGAAAACAAAGCAATTATTTGACTTAACACATCTTAAGTAAATTCGGTGATATATTTATAAAAAAAATCTTACATAACACACCGGTTACCAAACGTACAAAAATTAAGTAACGTGGTGATATTGATCGATGCTGATGGCAAATCGAAATGACTTTTCGGAAGCCTCGATATAGTTTAATATATCGAAATATACAAATCACTCCAGAAATTGTTTATTAAAATAATTATATTTCTATGTAATACGGTTAGATAACTATGAATGAGCGCTTTTCTCAATATGCAAATCAATCTGCCGGTTGGCAGTTATGAAACACCACTTCGTGCTTCAAAGAGACCTTTGCATTTTCATCAGGGAAATTATACGCTGGGAATTATTAAAACTTTTTAAAACAAGGTCTATAATCCGTAATTTATTTTAAATAAGTAGTTGTTAAATAGATTTTGAAACTTTGTAATATAAGCATAGAAATGCATTAAAATATAAAACAACTGAGAATAAAGTTTTATGCTATTGAGGATATTTACAAAGCACGTTTTTTAGATGCACGGAATAAATTTGAGTAAAAAAGTGAAAATGCATTACTCAAGTAATTACATTATTTTTGAGTATAAATTTGAAATATAAAATGGCAGCAAACAATGATCAAAATGAAAGAATTTGATTGGCTACTGCGTAAAAAGTCTAAGCTCTCTCTTGAAAATAAGTTGCTGCTATATAAATCAATCATTAAGCCAATCTGGACCTACGGAATTGAGCTCTGGGGATGTGCTTACAAATCAAATATAGCTATAATGCAGAGAACTCAGTCAAAAATTTTACGTACAATACTTAATTCTCCGTGGTATGTTACAAATGAAACCATTCACAGCGATCTCAACATGAAAACGGTACAATTAACGTTCAAAGAATTTAAGGAAAAATACAAAGATAAACTGGAATCACATTCAAAACGTCAATAGCCTTTACATTTACTCTTAGATTAGCTTCAATATATCATTATCTTTTTAATTGTTAAACTAAGAAGATCTCATTGGAGTTCTTCTTAGGCATCGCTCTCAACTATTGTCAATGTAGCTTATAGGAATTCTTACGTATTTATGATTGCTGAATAAAACAGAGTAAAAATAAATAAAAATAAATTGAAATAATTTTATATAAATGATAGAACACCAGGTATGTTTTTAATAACTTTAATTTTACTTTATCTCTATAACGAAGAATATGATGAATATCATGTGTCCAAAATTAGGATGTAGGTCACGACATCGATTAAGTTATAACTTGATCTTAAGTATGCCTTCCAAACATTCAATGACACTTTTATCAACACGGGCAATTGACAAAAATCATATGAAAAAGTAATAAAAACTAAAATAATTAAATTTCAACTCACCATGCTGCAATCCCTCATCGCACAGCCGGAGCGCTCGTTCATTGTTTCCGGCGGCCAGTTGACGTTCTACTTCCGGAACCAGGCTGGCTGCTCTGATTTCTGGACCCCAAAATCGTTCGACCAGACTGCGGACTAGAATGTCCGGTTCGAGGACATTTGTGTCGTCGCCCAGACCGGAACATAAGCTACCACAACGGGGACATTGCTGGTTTTTTAGAGGTAGGGATGATGCTGGAAAAGGATAAAATAAAAGATACAAAAAAAATTAAATATAAAATAATTTTTTGATAATTTGGTCAATGAAAATAATTAGCTGTAGTAGATACTACAAAAATAACATTTATTAATATGTAGCATTATTCCTTATGTTTCCAAAATAAAATGCCTGAAATTATCTTATAATTTTAGCAAGTCATTTGAAAATAAGTAATGAAGACAAAAAATATAAAAAATAAATATTTCAAATAAAACAAGCATTTTATACATAGTTTTCACTTTTATGTATTAACTCGTTAATATTAGTTTTTTTTTGTTCTATTTTTTTGCGAAATAAAAAGATTGAACACTCATTGTGCGATATTTTACTGAAAATTTATGTATGTATAATTTTTTTTTATTGATGTAATTTTTGTAAAAATTTCATGAGCAATGGCACATACTTGTTGATGTTAGAAAAGTAAAGAATGAATATTTTATTAATTAATAATAATAAATTATTAATATCTTAATATTTCATTATTATTTGCAACACTTTCAGCTCAATACACGAAATAAAAGTGAACGATATTTTATATTACATTTATTAAATGATCCTAAGTCATCTTCAGTGGTAATTTTAACTTTAATTAAGTAATAACGAATGCTCTGCTAAAAAAGTTTTTGACCATTTAAATATTACACAAATATAGATTGAATATGAAAAAGCAAGTTATGAGTACACATGCTTCAATTACTGGTCATTCTGAAAGAATGTTGATGACATAGGATCATAAGTCGAGTCAAATGGAAATGATAAAATAAACTGTTTAATCTTCCATTGAAAAAAATGGAAGGAATGTCTAGAAAATTTAATATTTTTTTGTTAACTAGAAGCTAATTGGAAGCAAATTGCTTCAAGCAATCCATCTTAAATTCCACTGAAAATGACAAAATTATACTCAAATCGTTTGGATGTAATAAAGGGTTTGCTAACTTCTACAATTCTTTTTAGATGTATTGCCTTGAAGATTTTGCTCCACATATGTATAAATATGCATACATACATACACACATACATTCATATAAGAGCAAATGGCAATAATTAGAAGGAAAATATAATATCAGAGCGAGAATTTTAGCATTCTAGATCCTCCCCCCATGAAGTAATGCCTAGTCGGTATTATAGCCAAGCGACATATCAAGCAAAGGAAGCAATTCATCTTAAATTCTACTGAAAATGACAAAATTATACCCAAATCGTTTGGACGTAATAGAGGGTTTGCTAACTTCTACAATTTTTTTTTAGATGTATTGCCTTGAAGATTTTGCTCCACATATGTATAAATATGCATACATACATACATACATACATTCATATAAGAGCGAATGGCAAGAATTAGAAGGAAAACATAAATTCAGAGCGAGAATTTTAGCATTCTAGATCCTCCCCCCATTAAGTAATGCCTTGTCGGTATTATAGCCAAGCGGTATTCTGAGATATAAGCAATGATGCTTCCATTCATCTTAAATTTCACTGAAAATGACATAAAATTATACCCAAATCGTTTGGACGTAATATAGGGGTTTGCTAACATCTACAATTTTTTTAGATAAATTGTCCTGAAGATTTTGCACCTGTATGTATATATACATAGACATACATACATATGAAAGCAAATGGCAATAATTAAAAGGAAAGTATAATTTGAGAGCGATAATTATAGCATTCTAGATTCTCCCCCCATGAAGTAATGCCTAGTCGGTATTATAGCCAAGCGGTATTCCGACATATCAAGCAATGGAAGCAATTTATCTTAAATTCCACTGAAAATGACATAAAATTATATCCAAATCGTTTGGACGTAATAAAGGGTTTGCTAAATTCATTTTTATTAGATATATGGCCCGATGATTTTGTCCCACATGTGTATATATGTATATATATATATATATATGAAAGCGAGTGCAATAATCAGAAGGAAAATATAATTATAGAGCAAAAATTTTAGCATTCTAGATCCTCCCCCCATAAAGTAATTCCTAACGGCGGTTTCCGTGGGGAACAGAGGCAAGAGATAAGCTGGGGGTTTATTCGGTATTATACCCAGGCAGCATTCCGACATACCCAGACAAAAGACATATTGTCGGTCTGGGATGCATACTTCCTTCGCTATTCAAAAATTAAAAAAAACTCACATACATAGCTTAAAATTCAAGAAAAAAAACCAAACAATGCCAAATGATACCAGTTTTTGTAAAAAAACAAATATTAAAAATATATGATTTTGAATATTACTTGACTTGTTATTATGCCTTGTCAATTGCATAGTTATTTTTCTCTAGGGCATTAAATTTCTTTTCTTATCAATTTTAATCGTTTTTTGACCATATACTCACTATTGGTGCCAACGCATCTGCGGCAAAACGAGTGTCCACACTGAGCCGTGACAGCATCGACTAGGACCCCGGAGCATCGAGCGCATGTCAGGTCCGAATCATCGCATATTCTGACTCCGTCTTCCGATCTTGATGACACGGGCTGTCGGCAACGCGCAGGATGCATTAACGAAGAGGTCAGGAGACAACGGGTTAATGCCTCGGCAGCGTCTCTCATGGCAATCGAGGACGCATTCCCAAATAGACGCGATTGTTTTTTCTCCGTTGTAATAAAAGACTTTTTACTAATGTAATATTCCTTCTAAAACAACTGAATTTCTTCACTCCTTCACTTCTTGTTATCTTCAGATTCTGAACTAAAATATACTTATTCCCTTTATTTTTCAGCAGATTTGCAGATTAAATGATATAAACACAAACTCAGTCTATCACTACACAACTCAGTGAGCTAATTTTTCAAAACTTGTTTTAAGCATCACTAAACTGTAAACTATTGCACAAACACTTGCACAATCAAATATAGGAGTTAAAATTTTTTTTTGATTGATTGAGAGGTTTTTAATTGATTTGATTTGTCTTGGTAATGTTGTGCGTTATGTAAATCCTTGCATTCAATCTGCAATCAAAAAGAAATAAATTATAAGTATTGCAATTTATTATATATAAATTAAAATTAACATTGCTAGTATTCAGTTTACTTTGAATATTTGGTATATAGCTATTTTTTAAAATTAAAAATTAGACATTAGACCTGTTTGCCTCCTGGATGCCCTATTTCACCAGTTTTTTGAAAAACAGGTTTGTTTGATACGTGTTATCTGTGCTTACACAAAGAATTTAGCCAACAATATTTTTATTTATCATCTATTATATAAAAATAAGTCGGGTTTTCCTTCCTGACAATATAACTCCAAAACGCACAAACCGATTTCGACGATTTTGCATTCGTTGGAAAGGTCTCGGACTCCGTGAGGTTTATAGCAATTGAAGAAAAATTTCCACAGAAAAGCGGAAAACACTTTTTCTTCTTTCACATAGACCGTCATCTCTAATACTTAGCATGTACTACAAACTAATATTTTTTGTTTGACTGCAATTCATTTGTTTGACAGCTACTCATTGTTCTCTGCACAGTTAATTTCATGTGACAAACCCGCATTGTGTTCACTGTGAAATTGTGCAAAAAAGGTGAAAAGGATGAGTTATTCGTTACCTAACATTTCAATTGGAAACCATCAAATCAATAACGTGTATTGTGCAAATTTTTCAACAACAGGCAATTTTTTTTTATCTTTTAATCACCAAACAAAATGTTACATAAAATGAAACCATCTGGTGGTGAAACGGAGTTCGCCCGGTTCGCTAGTCTCTCAATCTTTTTAACAGATTTCTTCCCTATTCTTTCCTTCTAAATCTAATCTTTTATATTCTGATCTTGATTTTCCATTTACTTCTAATTCTATTCAATTCTATTCAATTCTAACTCAACAATTCAAAATTATTAAATTTTAACTAAACAATGACAGTACCAGGATTCGTTCAGAGGATCTCTGACGTGAGAGTCAGGCATGCTACTGAATGAGCAACAAATTTTATTTAATTTCAACTCAACAATGATAGTACCAGGACTCGTACCGAGGATTTCTGGAGTGTGAGTCAGGAATGCTACTAACTGAACAACAAATTTTATTGAATTTTAAATCAACAATGATAATACCAGGAATCGTTCCAAAGACCTCTGACTTGTGAGTTGGACTACTGACTGAGCTACGCCCTCCACGTTATTGCTGGTAATAAAATAATTTACGAATGTATTGCTCAAAATAAAAGTTGACTATTTTATCATCCTACTAAATTCGTACAATTAACACGTAATGAAGTCAGTTTCCAAGTGCAGTAAATTTCCTTTACTAAACGCAGCGAGATGCAAAATAATGCTCTGATGATGTATTTGGCTAAACCATTTATTTTTCGCGTTGGAACTCGGCCACGGTCATTTCTGAGAATGTTATTTTATCTCAGTGAGTAAAATGTACGTAGAAAGCTAGTTGGTATTGGTGTACGTGTGCTATTCTGTAGTAGATGGGAGACCTGTTGTTCTTTCATTCATTTATTACATCTATTACCTGTTTGAATTCATGACCATATAAGTGTTAAATAAAAAAAATCAAGTGTTGGGTTCGAAATGGTCTGAACTTTCGTGTTGGAACAACTGAAGATTATTGACCTTAAATTTCGCTTTCGCTGTATTATATTTACAAAATTAGTGAAATTACTGTTTTTCTTACTATCAAAATTGGAAAACTAATTTGATCTAATAGGAGATCTCTTGATGGTTAGATGTGTAGTTTAACATAATAAAATCATGCTGCTTTGGTATTGTTTAATTCACATAAAACATCTTGTTCGCGTAACAAATGCATCATTGTGCACATTCCATACACAAAACCCAAATAAATCCAAGTTCTCCATGTATAAATAAGAACAATACGTGCTGTGTTCCCTAAAGTCGTATTTCATGTCAATTTTATCTTGCAGTAAAACTCAAGTTATCCATTATTCCATGCTGCTCAATCTAATAAATCTATTTATATGCGCGCTACATTTACATAAAAACCACCGATGCAATAGAGAGTATTGTCACAAAAAGCATCGAGGCAGTAAATTTTAATGAGCCACCCGTAAAAACCTTAGGCAATTCATTGCTAACCTAAGCCCAGGAGCACAATATATAATTCCGAACACAAACGTAAAAGCAACAAATGAGAAAAGTTTTCATGGAGCTGCGCGGATTGTAATCTTCTTTTGTGCTCGTAGCATTCGATCTCTCCACCGGACAAAGAAACAATAAAATATTTTTAAATCCTACAGCCTTAAGTGCCAGATCGTAAAATAAATTCCACCATTGGGGAAGGATTTTCTTCAGAAAATATTTGTTTTACTTAAGCAGATGATGATATAATTTATCAATTGAAAGCTTACATTATATATTTTTTGAGAAATGTAACACCAGGCATGGTTCGTAACAGAGCATCATTTGCAATATAAAACAAATATTACTTAACAACTTACAGCATCTTTATTTTCTTGAAAATCAAATTATAAATAAATATTTTTTTAAAATCATTTTATCTCAAGTCATCGTAGCTCAAACTTTATCCATTACATTTGAATTAAATATTACAATTGTTACTTTTACTTTCATACACTATAAATAACGAGAAATGGATACCAGAACAATAGAGAAATAATAAAACTATTTATGAAGTCGTAAACACATTTCAGCCAGGGCATGTTTTATTACGAGGTATTTTTAGACGCCATTATTTTATGTTAATATCTTTTCTTCTAATATAATTCAAAATTACATAAACCTATATATTATTACAAAAAAATCGATTACGTCGATATTAGATCAATACACAATTTAGGAATCAAATTAAAAAAAAACTGTCAATTTTAATAAAAATGGTTAAATTAAAAAAAATTATATAAACAAAAATTAGGTGTATCATATAGTATGCGTTTGATGAAAATGTATTTGTTTTATGTCGTTTGCAGAGTCGAAACAACTTTTTACTTATTTATTTGAAATTGTTATTTATATATATTTCATTTGTTTGAATTTATGCTACAACTATTAACACAACTATGAACTCCATAAGTTTATTTGTACAATTAAAACATATAAAAAAATATATGCACATTTGGCATAGACTGCTATCCATACGGTACTTTAAATAAGCAAAAAATATTAAAAATAACAAAAATAAAACGACACGAATAAAAAATCATTTTCTTGAATTATTTTTTATCAAATCATTTTTGTCAAAAAGAAAAACATGAAATTGTTGGCTGTTATATAACGTTTTAAACATAGGATAGTGTACGCAATTTAATAAAAAAAGAGCTCGTTATGAACAAAGTTTTGTCGAACCCGAGTTAGTGTAATATTTTAATCCTAACAATATTTATAGAGAAAATTATAAACATGATTAAAGCGTGTTGAAACTTTTCTTTTGATGCTGGGAAAAGCAATCAGGATTATGATTCATTCATATTTTCACCATAGTTTCGAAGCATTTTTAATAATTATCGTTAGCTTAAAATACAGGGCACTTCCATTGGTTAGTGCTTAGAAATATGGACATAAAAAAATAAGTGAAAATAGCCCAATAATTCTGCATCATAAAAAATTCATCGATATTACAAGGTTGTCGTGGCCGAGGTCGTTAACGCGCGATCTGATTTGCATGGGGTCGCGCGTTCGATTCCCCGCTCTGGCAATCTGGCAAGTGATATCAAAATATGTTACCAATGGAAAATAAGCTCATCTCGGGCACTTTGGTGTGAAATGGAAATGGAAAAAACTCTCACACTACTTCTTCCCTGAAACGAATTGGAGTTCAACTCAGCTCACAGACCTGCCTTAGGGCAAGTAAGTGTAATAATAAATTCATCACATAGAGATCGTACTACCGTAGGCTTGACTTAATGTTTTCGCATCAGTACCACCACTATTACTCTATAAGCTATACATAATCAACATCGAAACGGATCACCACTGAGTGACCTTTCGTCCTTTTTTCCTTATATAATAAACCATTAAAATTACTGAATGTTGTTTAGAAAAAATGAACCATTAAAATTACTGAACGACAGATTGTAATTCATAAAAACAAATAAAAAAAAACATAGAGATCGAACAACCGTTTTGGTTGCCATCTAAAAAGCCATAGCATTAGGAAGTTATCACAACAGCTCCAAGTTCTTGTTCCAATTTAACAAAAGTTTAAATTCTATTTTTTATGTATTATATCATATTGTTACAGATTCCTCTCTCAATCTGCTCTTGCAACGAGAGCAAAGTACATAAAAACATTTCAGCAATGTACACAAAATGAAAATCAAGAAAGCAAACAAACATCATTCGGTATTGTTTACAAGTGTCGTTAGACGAAAGTGTTATTAATTCCATCCATCCTGTTTTAATCGCGACCGCTCTTTGCCCGTCCGAGTTGTTCCGAGTCCGAGTGCCGTCAAAACTGAGTTTTGTCGGGCGTTACGCTAGAATTACTAGCGGCCCGGATGCGAGAGTACGTTGAACTTATCATACATAAATGTGAGATATCACGATTAACATGCATATATTCTAGGTGCCTGTATGATGTACATTTCATTAGCATTTCTCATGGCCGCAATTCATATGCGAATAACGTCTAGTTTAATTAATATACTGAACCAGATTAATTCATTTAGTGCTTCTTTTGAAACTCGGTAATTGCTTGGGACTCATTATAGAAGATATATGACTTTCGTCGCTTAAATTACTGTTGTAATATATAGAAACTATAAAACAATCAAGGGATAGAATTATTAAAACTAGGTGTAAGTGACAATTTACCTTAAGATACGTCATACAGCTTGTTTTAAGGCAAAATTCCACTTAAGGCAATGTTCATACAGTGAGAATCAAGATTTACCAATTTTTAAAATTGTGGAGATAAATTTTTTAACGTTTTATTTCGAAAATAATTTTTTTGCTCCAAACTCAATATTTTAGTGGTTGGGGAGCGTTCATTAATCACGCAAAGTTTTTATGTAAAGGGGAGGGGG